ACCTAACATCAGTGCAAAAAGTTGCAAATTAACAAAGTTACGAAAAGTATAAATATGTTCTTTTTTAATTTTTTTTTTTTATTATTCCAGAATAATATTAATTTTTTAATCATATTTACTTATCTATACGTATGAATTTGGTTACACAGAGTAACGTTGTAAAATAAAGAGTCGTCCACTAACTTTGTCCACTTGAAGCATCTGTGGAATTTCAAGCAGTAGAGAAAAAAATGACGCTACAGTATTTGATGGGTTCGAGGGACACATAATATAGTAGCAACAGTTTTGTTGGTAACGTCGCCGTTAGGGCGACACGAAGGTCATCTCTGTTTGTTTAAGTGGAATGACTACCACTAGAGTACAAATGTTCTGCAGTCTATAATTTTCGATACATTTAATTTTCAATTCGGTATTCACAAAAATTTATCCTACAACTACAGTCTATGCTAACGAAGTCAAAACACGTTTACATATCCATACGACACGAATGACTTCAAAGTTGAATAACTCCGAATTTATAGATTTGTTTGAGTTAAAATTTTACAAAATATGTAGGAATGAAATATAAAAGTAAGAATTAGATCAGTTTATTCTCGAGATTAGAATAGATACAACTAGAGAATCAATCTTTAACGACATAGAAAGATTAACAAAACAACCTGTCTAACCTGTTTTTCGATACCTTTTGCACCTGATAATGGAAACGGAATGGACTACTTATAGACTACTTATATACCTTAAGATGAGGTATAGAATAGATGTATCTCCTTATGAGTCTTTATGTTATATCACAGACAAAGTACAGCATAGACTTTGCATTTTATGGAACTTTTTGTTCGGGGCTTGGGGGCCGAGAAGACCCTTACCATTTTCGTGTAGCTACCAACGTTACCGATTCAGCATAGAATAAAATTGCAACATAGTTTGAATTGAAATTAAACGTAACTATGAAATTACAAATAAAAAACTAACGTAATTGTTTATTAGTAGATGAATCATTATATGCACGTGTTCTACTGCTATCAGAAAATCGTAAACAATTTTACCCTAGCAATCCAATATATGTATGTATCTTTATATGCACGATGTTCTGACAGCAGTAGAACATGCGCATGTACCGAATCATCTACTAACAAACAATTACGTTACTTTTTTATTTGTAATTTCATAGTTACATTTAATTCCAATTCCAACCACTACTAATGTTGTAATCTTATTCTGTACTGAATCGGTAACGTTGGTAGCTACACGAAAATGGTAAGGGTCTTCTCAGACTCAAAGCCCCGGACAAAGTCTCATAAGATGTTAGGTCATTCCTGTACTTTATCTATGCCTGTACGTCGTCTGTGCCGGCAGCTTACCTCATACAGATCGTAGAGAAGAAGACAGTGACATTCGGCACTGTAATTTCATAGTTACATTTAATTCCAATTCCAACCACTACTAATGTTGTAATCTTATTCTGTGCTGAATCGGTAACGTTGGTAGCTACACGAAAATGGTAAGGGTCTTCTCAGACTCAAAGTCCCGGACAAAAAGTCTCATAAGATGTTAGGTCATTCCTGTACTTTATCTATGCCTGTACGTCGTCTGTGCCGGCAGCTTACCTCGTACAGATCGTAGAGAAGAAGACAGTGACATTCGGCATCGTAAACGACATTACCGACTTCTGCGGCACTATCGTTTGCTTCACCACCATACAGGTGCATGCCGGAAAGTTCTTCAAATGTGTATTCCATTGTATACTGTAATATAACAAACACAACGTGCACTACGCACACAACGCACACAAATCACTGAAAAGCAATTACTGTACACTACATAATTCACATACACACGCGCGCGCACGAAATGAAAACTAAAACAGAGAACCAAAGAAAATTAAAAAAGTACTAAAGAAAAATAAATTAAACTTATATTGACACTACACTACCATGTAATAAATTAAACTGAATTGATTATACTAAACTAAAACTAATTAACTTACTATTTTATAACTATAAAGTAATACATAACAAATAGAAAGAAATTAAAATAAGTGCTATGTTCGCTTATTGCGTCGAGTAGTGCTTCTAAAGTTACACTTTCGCTGTCGAAATGATTCTGTCCTTCCAAAGCATCCACTGTTAATCTTCTAACGTTTGTTACACACATCTGGTGAACACCGTGTTCAGTTTTTCGTATGTGGTTCCACGGTCCGGGGATTACGTAGCCCCGTTACCATTCCGGTGTCACATGCGACGTTATCGATTGAGAATAAAATAAGATTACAGCACTTTAGCAATGGCAGGAATTGTAAATAAGCAACTTGATAATCAATTCCGTTCTAAATCAGAATTGATCTACAGAATTCAAATTTTGTGAGAGAATAGTGACAATTTTTTACGAGAAATGTAAGATATACATTGAGGTTTGTCAGGTATGTAAAATTCTAATATTTCTGTTAAATATTTTGTACTTTTTATGCTGCTTGTAATGTAGTGAATAATTATATGAGTTTTTAACTGTAGCACTAAAAGCCAAAATTTTACTATCACAAACATAATAATAGTAATGACGAACAAAATTTGAATATTACAAGTATTTTATAATCAAAAGAACGCAATGTATTGGGAAAACGGTTAATGGAAACCGATGAACAATTAAAACAAGAGAAAGATCAATATAACATTTTCCGCATGCAATATAATTATGAGCGAAGCGTAAAGAAATGAATAGATTAAGAAATAACCATTCTTCAAGCTGCACAGATGATATGCATTTGAAAAAAACAATAACAAAGAATTTCGCTCCCTCCACTCACTCAATTTACCTCCGCCGATAATGGCGATTGCTTTTCAAATAACACGCTTGTGTACAGACTTACCAACAGGACAACCGAATGTTAGAAAAGCCGATTTTAAAGAACACGATACGCGCTTCTTCTGACAAGACTCAGCTCACCCGGTTTTGTTGCTTCGACGTTGTTTTGGCATTAGACCTTCGATAATTAACAGTACAACGCAGCTATCTTGTAACATAATACACAGTTTTC